GTCTCTGTTCCAATTCATCCCAAAGGTGTTCGATGGGGTTGAGGTCAGGGCTCTGCAGGCCAGTCAAGTTCCACACCGATCTCGACAAACAATTTCTGTATGGACCTCGCTTTGTGCACGGGGTGCATTGTAATGCTGAAACAGGAAAGAGCCTTCCTCAAACTGTTGCCACAAAGTTGGAAGCACAGAATAATCTAGAATGACATTGTATGCTGTAGCGTTAAGATTTCCCTTCACTGGAACTAAGGGGCCTAGCCCGAACCATGAAAAACAGCCCCAGACCAAACTTTATGCGTAGACGGCTTGACAAATGGTAGCAGAAGGTTAGTGTTGAACTTTTGTTGCACACACATCCAGATGATGCTGCGGACCATTTTGCGCAATTACGCTGTCAGTGTGATCAAGGATTAAGGCCATTCTACTGCCAATGTTTTTCTATGGAGATTGCATGGCTGTGTGCTCAATTTTATACACCTATCAGCAACGGGTGGGGCTGAAATAGTAGAATCCACCAATTTGAAGTGGTGTCCACATACTTTTGTATATATGGCATAGCTTGATGTAGAGGTCTTCACGCATATACCCGAGATCCGACTCGGTATCCGAACAGGTTGGATCCAAAATACGGTAGTTGACCCTCGGATCACGCTCGGCGGCCACGGACCTCGGATCAGTCTGATCATATGTGAAATGCTGCCCAGATCCCAAACTATATTTGAAGAAAATATCCTGATGAAAATAAATATCAATAGTCAATAGGATTCATCTCTCTCCTCCTCCTGTCTGCATCTCTCTCTCGCTGTCTGGCATGAGCTCTCGCTGTAGCGAACTTGCAACCTTGTTTCAACTGGGCCTTCACTGTTTCCTGCGCCAATGAGCTCCAAACAGACACCACTCTATTTGCGCAAAGGATACATGTTCAGGTAGCCTTTTTTATGACATTTCCACTGGAGATATGGGATCAGCAATATGTTGCTATTTCACACGAGGCGTGGTGGTTACTTAGGCCTATCGAGAAAGAGTGAGGAACTATTGTCGTTCACAATGGTTGTAAAACACTCTGTTGACTTCCTGTGTGAGGCGATGGAACAACCACTTTGAGAAGCTCCGCAGATCATACATGGTGGTTAGTTAAGACGATCAGAAATATTATCAGACATCCCCAAATGGCAACTTTTCTAGGCCTACATTTGCACACAGGCCAGGTACTTCTATGCGTGCTCTAACAAAAAATAAAAAAAAATAAACATTAACAAACAATTCACACAATGAAACAATGAATGCACATGAATTAGCGGGAAACAGAGATCATTCTGCAGAGACAAGACTAGTAGTGACATCACCACACACCCCTTCCCTTCTCACTGTGTCCACATTTTAAATGAGGGATGTCATTTATGAAAACACTAAGCTGTAGTGTAGACCACGACTCAATTATTTTAGATAGGCCTACAACAGAAAATGCATGTGAACCGTTAACGTTCACTGTCTAACAGACAAGCCACTGCCTGCCAGACAAGCCGCTATAGATCCGACCCAATTTGGATCCGATTCTCTCTCATCTGGGACATATTTTGGGTCGGATCTGGTTCCACCTGAAATCCGAATCGGATTGGGTGTTGATTTTTTTTATTTTTTACAAATGGGATCCGAGAACACCTCTAGCTTGAGGTAGGCCTAGTCAGAGTTGATCATACAGGGCTGGTGCCTCTTGTGATTCAGACCACTGTCTGCTATGTTCCTGTTACCACACCCACACTGCAGGCGGTGTTCATGTAAAGCACCTCACGCTCACGCTAGGGCGTATGACTCGTCTGATTCGGTATGGTATCTTCTACTGCTAATTAGTGTGCGTGCAGCCAGGTGCATATTTGTGTTTTAATGTGTTCTTGTCTCTGAGTACATGATACTCCCGAGTGGCACAGTGGTCTAAGGCACTGCATCGCAATCAGGGTAGTGTGAGGGGAGGGTAAGGTCAAGCAGGGTAGTGTGAGGGGAGGGTAAGGTCAAGCAGGGTAGTGGTTAGGGGAGGGTAAGGTCAAGCAGGGTAGTGTGAGGAGAGGGTAAGGTTAAGCAGGGTAGTGTGAGGGGAGGGTAAGGTCACATCGGGGGGGGGGAGAGGAGGGGGGGTTTTTTCCCCCAAAAAGGGGGGGGAAAAAGGAGTGGAAAAAAAAAGGGTAAGGGGTGGGGGGGGGGGTTGGGGGCTTGTTTTTGGGGGGGGTTTTTGGGGGGGGGGTTTTGGGGGTTTAAAGGGGGAGGGTGGGGGGCCCCCCAAAAAAACCCAAAAAGGGTTAAAAAAAATTAAAATTAAAGGGCCCGGGGGGCCCCCCCTGGGCCCAAAAAAGGGGGGGGAAAAACCCCCTTTTTAAAACCCCCGGCCCTTTTGGTTTTTTTTTTCAGGTATTTGTAAATTTTGTTTTGGGGGGAAAACCGGGGTTTAATTTGGGGGGGGGTTTTAAAAAAGGGGGGGGGGGAAAAAAAAGGGGGGGGAAAAGGGGGGAAAAAAGGGGGGGGGAAAAAAAAAAAAAAACCCCCCCAAAAGGGGGGGGTTTTCCATTTTTTGGGGTTTTCTCCTCAAATCCCCCTCTTCTTTTTTTTCCCCCCCCCCTCCCTTTTTTCTGCTCCCCCCCCTTTCTCCCCTTTTTTTCTTCCTTTTTTCCCTTTTCTGGGTTTTTTGGGGGGGGCCCCCCCCCCCTCCCTCCCTTTTCCCTTTCCCCCCTTTCCCCAAAACCCCCAAAAAAAACATTTTCCAAACCCCCCCCCTTTTTTTCCCACTTTTTGGGGCCCCTTAAAGGGGAGTCTAGTTCGCGGCCCCCAAAACTTTTCCGGGTTTTTCCCCCCCCCCTGAAAAGGGGAGGATGATGGGAAAAACCCCCCCCCCCAACCCCCCAGGGAAATTTTCCCCAAATACAACACCCAAAAACCTTGGGAAACACCTGCGCTTTTAAAAAATAACCCCACTTTTGCAACCTGGCAATTCCCCCTTTTTTTTTTCGGCCCGGGTTTAAAAAAAACCCCCAAAATTTTGTTTTTCCCCCTTAACAACCCCCTTTAATTTTAAATCACCCCGTAACCTCTAAAGTGAACTCTAAGGGGTATTTTTTGACTAAAGGGGGATGGTTTTTTAAAAGGGGGAAATTTTTTTTAAAAGGGGGGGGGGGGGGGTTTTTGGGGGGGGGAACGATTTTGTATTTTCCCCCCCCCCCTTTTTTTTTTTGGGGGGGAAAAAGGGGGTTTTTTTGGGGGGGGGGGGGGTGGGGTTTTTTTCCCCAAAAACCCCCGGGGTTTTAAATGGGGGAGGGAAAAAAAGGGGGGGTTTTTTTTTAAAAATTAAAGGGAAGGGGGGCCCCGTTTTTGGGGTGTTTTTTTCCCTTTTGGGAGGAAAGGGAAGGAAAAGGGGTAAGGGTTTTTTTTTTTTTTTTTTGGCTTTAGGGGGGGCCCAAATTTTGGGGGTGGGGGGGGGAGGGGCCCCCGGAAAGGGGGGGGCGGAAAGGGGGGGCCCCCCTGTTGGGGGGGGGAGGGGGAAAGGAGGAGGGGGGGGGGGGGGGCCCCCCCCCCCCCCTTTTTTTTTCCCCCCCCTTTTTTTTTTGGCCCCTTTTCCCCCCCGGTAAATTTTTCAATTTTTCCCCCCCCGAAAAACCCCTTTGCCCCCCCCCCGATTTTAAAAGTTCCTCCCCTTTACCCCCAAGGGGGTTTTTTTCCTTTTTTTTTTTTTCCCTTTTTCCCCCCCCCCAAACGGCCCGGGGCCAAACCCAAACCCCCCAAAAAGTTTCTCACTTTTGGTACCCCACCCACTGCCTTAAAAACCGGCACACCAAGGGAACTGGGGCTTTTACCGGGGGCTCGGGGGTTTTTTTTGTTTCCCCCCAAAAAGGGGTTTTTTTCCCCCCGTTTTTTTTTGGGTTTTAAAAAAAAGTAGGTTTTTTAATTCCCAACCCCTTTTTGAAAAAAAATTTTGGGGTCCCCGGGTTCCCCCTTAAACCCCCCCCCTCCCCCGGCCCCGGTTCCAAATTTTTGGTTTTAAACCCCTTTTAAGATTTTTTTTGGGGGGGGGGTTTGCTTGTGTTTCTTTCCAATTTTGGGGCGGGGGGGGAAGGGAAAAGAAGCGTTAGAAGAACCGGGGGAAAAAACCCAACCCTTGGGAAAAAAATTAAGGAACCCGGGACATCCCCCAAAAACCCCAAAAACCAAAAAGTTTTGGAAAATGGGCCCCCGTTTTCTTTTTTTAACCCTTTTTTCCTTTTTGGGCTACCCCCTTTGAAAATATTTTTGGGGGGATTTCTGGGCCAAACCCCCAAAAAATTTTGTCCCCCGGTCAGGGCTCCCCACTTTTCCCTGGAAAGAAACATTTTTTTTTTTCCCAAAAAACCCCCCTTTTCCCCCGAAAATAAAAGAGGTGGGAAAGGGGAAAAAAAGAGGCAGCGAAGGGAGGGAAGGGCTTTTTTTACTGAAACCCTTCCTTTCAATCCCCTTTTTTTAACCCCCCCCCCCTCCCCTTCCTCCCTCTTCCTGTTTTCCCTAAAAAAATTTCCCGACTCCCCTTTTTTTTTTTTAAATAAAAAAGGGGGGGAAAAAACGGGGAGGGGAAAACCCAAGAAAAGGGGGGGAGAAAAAAAAAAGGGGTTTTCCAAATTACCCCTCCCTGGTGTTAAACCCAAAGCCACCCCAAAGGGGGGGCCCGTTCCATTAAACTCTTTGTTAGAAAGGCTTTTAGAGCTCATGTCTCTCTCCAAAGAAGACCGTTTCAACACTTCCTTTGTCCTAGTACTTGGGCCAATTAAACTGACTGTTGTGAGTACCGTAGATACAGTAGTGCCATTACATTCCAATCCTCCATCTTGTCCGTTTCTAAGGCTAATTTATCGTAGTGGATCCCCCTGGCTCCAGTTGACAGGCCCCGGCTCCCTGGAGCCTGGTTGCCAAATATTTCCCTGAGGTATTAGAAACTTGTAGTAGGAACTTTACTAGTGGGGATTTGACTCCTGTGTTACATATCAGATATGTTGGTTTTCTGTCAACAGGTGAAGATCCAGAAGCTGTATGAGAAGAATCTACATGGAGGCTTTGACACAAACAACCACATTCAGAGGAAAAAAGAGTTCAGGAATCCCAGGTACACTCACACACACACACACACACACAGATTCCTAGAGTTATGATCATGTCGACAATACGCTTGTTGCTTTTCCAGATACATTTGTTGACATGTCTGTGTGTGTCTATCCAGTATCTATGAGAAACTCATCCAGTTCTGTGGCATTGATGAACTGGGAACCAACTACCCTAAAGACATGTTTGATCCCCACGGCTGGACAGAGGACTCCTACTATGACGCACTGGGTAAGGAAATCATTGGTGTGTTTGTGGCTGTATGTCCTATCAACTCAACAGTTTTCTTTCCCTCCCTGCAGCCAAAGCTCAGAAAGCAGAGATGGAGAAACTGGAGAAAGCCAAGAAGGACAGGACGAAGGTGAGGGACACGGGCGTTTTATTTGACTTGAAGAGGGCACCTGAGGTAACCTGAATTACAATACACCTGTTTTCAACCCCCCTCACAAAACTAACACATGCCTTCCTCTAATGCAATGCTCAATCTCTGTTAAATATAACCCGTACAGAGAAAATAGCTTTGCCAACTCTGTACTCTCATTTCCTGCTCTCCTGTTTCACCAATCACAAACAGGGCTGTTCTGTAATCAGTCTATGTCAGGGGCATGTTGCCACAAACTGCCTGTACTTTATGTTCAAGTGTCCTGCCAAGAGATTAAGTCTCATCGCAACACCACGTCAACACCGCCCAGCCCAGCTCAGCCCTCTGCAGTACAAGTGTGATAAAGTGTTTTGTCTTCTCTGTCCTAGATTGAGTTTGTGACGGCCACTAAGAAGGGCAGCAACCCCACCAACGCAGCAGTTCCCACAACCAATACTGCTGCTGCTACTACAGTCACAGGTACAGGTACAGGTATCACCAGCAACACCACCACTACTGTCACTGGCAGAGAGACAAGCCCCACCCCCCCACTATAGAAACAAAGACAAGCCCCCCCACTATAGAAACAGAGACAAGCCCAGAGAAGCCCCCCGCTATAGAAACAGAGAGAAGCCCCCCGCTATAGAAACAGAGAGAAGCCCCCCACTGTAGAAACAGAGAGAAGCCCCCCCGCTATAGAAACAGAGAGAAGCCCCCCCACTGTAGAAACAGAGAGAAGCCCCCCGCTATAGAAACAGAGAGAAGCCCCCCACTGTAGAAACAGAGAGAAGCCCCCCACTGTAGAAACAGAGAGAAGCCCCCCCCACTGTAGAAACAGAGAGAAACCCCCCCGCTATAGAAACAGAGAGAAACCCCCCGCTATAGAAACATGACCTTCCTGAAAGAAAGATTCAGATTATATCTGGTTCCCTTTTCTCTCCCATTCACTATTGTAGCCGAGCAAACAGGTAGCGTGAGCGCGCCCCCCAAGGTAGGCTCTCTCACAGAGAGCCTCGCGAGCACCGAGAGCGCGACAAAGCGATCAGCACCCAGGGTGTAGTAGAGCTCCCATAGCGCGAGAGCTATCCCAAGGGGGGACGCTATCGCCCCTTTCTGTCGCGCTACTCTCTCTCCCTCTCTTCTCCCTCATGCTTCATTCTCCCCTCATCTCTCTCTACCCCATTCCTCTCTCTCACCCTCTCACTCCCCTCCACCTTCTCCTCTCCCACATCTCTCTCTCTCTCCTCTCTCTCTCTCTCTCTCCCATCTTCTCTCTCCCCCTCTCTCTCTCCCGTCCTCTGTCGCTCTTCCCCGTCCTCGCTCTCTCTCCGTCCTGTCTCTCTCTCCTGTCCTTTCTCTCTCTCGCTCTCCTCCCCCCACCAGAAGCTCAGAAGAGGAAGAGTAAGTGGGACTCTGCGGTGCCGGTGACCCTGGCCCAGCCCACCCTGCTCACTACCACGGCAACCCTGCCAGGGGTCGTCTCCGTGACGACCACCGCCAGCGGAACCAAGACCACCGTAATCTCTGCCGTGGGCACCATCCTGAAGAAAGCCAAGCAGTGAACAGGCACGGGGAGGAAGTGTGTTGGTGTATGGTCCTGTGTGACTGTATTGCTAAAAGAATGAAGAGTGAGAGAGAATGTCTTCAGACAATATGGACGTCACATTTCTATATTCATCCCTCCTTGCCATACAAGACCTTCTCTCCTTCTGTCTCTGGGATGATTGGATTTATAGCATATGGTCAAAGGACTCAATCCTGATTTGAGATTTAATAAGACTCTTTGTCTGTACATTTTTATGAATATCAATGTGAGGCTCCTTTTTCATCCAGCTCTCCAGTCAGCACTCTGTTGAAGTTATCCATTGATCTGTTTGTGTTTCTGTCAGCTAGAAACTGGGTTTAGATGTTAGCTAATGACTGTCCATTGGGAAAACCATCCTTCCTAGGAAGTAGCCTAGTTATGGGATAAGATATTAGCCTCATGTCTGAAACTTGGAGAGGTTGTCTCTCTGTTACTTCCTCCTGTAAATGGTTTCTTTCTTCCTCCTGTAAATGGTTTCTGTCTTCCTCCTGTAAATGGTTTCTGTCTTCCTCCTGTAAATGGTTTCTTTCTTCCTCCTGTAAATGGTTTCTTTCTTCCTCCTGTAAATGGTTTCTTTCTTCCTCCTGTAAATGGTTTCTTTCTTCCTCCTGTAAATGGTTTCTTTCTTCCTCCTGTAAAGTTGTTCCTTTATCCTCCTGTAAATGGTTTCTTTTATCCTCCTGTAAAGTTGTTCCTTTATCCTCCTGTAAAATGGTTTCTTTCTTCCTCCTGTAAATGGTTTCTTACTTCCTCCTGTAAATGGTTTCTTACAGTATCCACCCACCTGTTATGGTAAAGTATATCTTTGTATTATTTTTGGGCTTTACAAAATGATTTCCTGTCTACCCACAGTGAATCTGTACTATATCCTGGACTGTGTTTTGAGAATGTACTTGGATGCGGTCTAGTAAGGCTGAAAGGGGAATACTCAGACTATGGACATTTGCATCAACGTTTCTTACCTCATTTAATTTTAAATGGCCTATTTAAAAAGTTTAGGGGGAATATTTTTTACAAATGTACATATATATCACTGATGATGATGATGATGGTATGGTCAATAAAACAAACGTCATACTGCCTTTTCAATCGGACTGTGTGCCCGTTCTTGTACACTTGTCTTGGCTTCAATAGCAACTGTGTTTTATACATAATGTAAGATAAAATAACTATGATAAAATACTTTTCATACTGTTCTCTGGATAAAGCTTTTGAATGTTCTGTCTGGAAATGAAGGGATGTTATTGTGTTCCAGTGCTGTTGACTTCAGCCACTGGTCTGAATCTGGCTGGAGGAATTCCTGCTTCTCTCTCTCTCTCTCTCTCTCTCTTTTCCTTTCTCTCTTTCCTCACTCACTCTCTCTTCTTCACTCACTCTCTCTTCCTCACTCACTCTCTCTCTCACTCACTCACTCTATTTTCCTCTCGCTCGCTCTCTCTCTCCCTTTTCCTCTCTCACTCTCTCTCCATTCCACCCTTCCCTGGGTATTTGTGTCCAGGTGCGGTTGTGATTTACACCCATCCTTCACCTCTTCCCATCTTCTATCCCTCTATCTCTCCATCTGAGTTCCATCCAGCAGGAAGGATAAAACACTGCCCCACTCGGCAGTCTTTTGAAGCACCGCGGGAGGTCATAGTTCAGAATAGTCGTTCACTAGAGTAAGTGCCGTTTGAGTTAAAGTTGCCCTTAGGCACAGATCTAGGATCAGCTTACCATCCACAGATCCCCATAGCGCCATTTGGATTTGAGTACTTAGAAGCCTGTAGTAAGTCTTAACTGTATCCTTTATCAGTGTATTGAAGTCGTCACAAGTGGCTGGTTTGTCTTTTGATGAGTGAAGAGGGCTTTAGTTTTTTTGTTGTTGTAAAGAGTAAAAGCCAATATGGTGATAACCCATCCAGTCATTTCACCTGTCAGTGGTGATTTAAGGAAAGGAAGCCATGAAAGAGTATGAAGTCACATTTACATTTTTAGTCATTTAGCAGACGCTCTTATCCAGAGCGACTTACAGTTAGTGAATACATATTTTTTTTATACTGGCCCCCCGTGGGAATCGAACCCACAACCCTGGCGTTGCAAACGCCATGCTCTATCAACTGAGCTACATCCCTGCTGGCCATTCCCTCCCCTACCCTGGGCCAATTGTGCGCCGCCCATGAGTCTCCTGGTCGCGGCCGGCTGCGACAGAGCCTGGATTCGAACCAGGATCTCTAGTGGCACAGTTAGCACTGCAAAGCAGTGCCTTAGACCACTGCGCCACTCACTGCGCCACTCAAGGCATTTTCAGACCAATCTTGAGACGTTTGTAAATGAACAAACATTTGTTGAAAGTGAATATGATTGTGGGTTTTTTCAGCTTGTTAGACGTGATGGGGCCCACCACCCAGATATTTCTCTGTCTCAGGAATGTCAGCTAAGAATATGGAAGACGTCTGTCTGTCTGTCAGCTGTGGTTCAGAGCCACTGGCATGCTCTCCTGGATATCGTCCCACCACCACTGGCTCGGCTCCCCAAGATGCTCCTGAACAGTAAAACCAGATGAGTGGAGAACTAGAAACAGTATGAGGTTCAGTATGTAATGAATCTTTATTCTGCTTGTGCAAAATCAGTTTCTACTACTTGTCTCTTTCTGTCCCCCTGTTATGTCAGTACTTATTTCTCTCTTTCCATCTCTCCCTCCCCTCCCTGTGTTGTTGGGTTAAATACTGTTTTATGGAAGTGTGCTGAGATACATGCCTGCAGGCTGCATTTCATCTGTAGCTTCTGCATAGCAGTCCTACCCAGCATACACACACACACACACACACACACACACACACTATTTTGGCTGATCTGGGCCTGTCCTTGGAATCGTGTGTGTGTGTTTCTGCACAGAGGTGAGTCAGAGACACACCCAGTGTACAGCTATTAAAGTGCTGAACAGGCCTAAACCTTGCCTCAACACAACAGACCTTCCATCTGGTACACTGACACAGGTATGACTCAATGTCCTTGGTGAATAAGAGGTCCAATTGTCTAAAACATTATCCATTGTGAAAATTAGATATACTCTTTTAAAACATAGATAGGCTAAATAATCATAGGCTAGCTACTGAAGTCTAACACATTTGGACAAAATGCACTGAAACACCAAGCACTTATGTAGCCTAGGGTATGCCTTCATGAATTGGTGTCCCACTCCCCCGAGAAACAGGCCATATGTCTCATTGGCCGTGTTTGAACCCGTTTCATAGAAGAAGAAAAAACTGCACAAAGACTATATTGAACGCGCGCTTTTGTCATGGAAATCCGAGTTTGGCACTGGACAGTGTGTTGGAACAAAGCGCGAGAGTTGGATTTGGGAAGAATCGGTTGGGGAGACTGTCCAAAAAGTTCTAAACTTGGACATTTTGTATGCAATGACATTTTGACTGGATTTAGAGCAATATGGTAGGCTAAATGTAGCTGAAGCGTGTCAACTTCACGCGTATCCGGGGGGCTACCACCTTGCATTGACCTAAGGCGCGCAGCACTGTTGCACTTGAAGTAAGTTATTTTAGAGTAACATTTAAATCTGTAGCCTAAATCAGTTCCATATCAGTTTGCACTATTCAGCAAGCACCTACCTTTAGACAAAAAGGGCCGACTAGGCTATAGTTATTGATTTGTCTGCAGTGTCAAATATTGCTTTACAGAATGGCATCGCCTCATAGCCATGGGAAGTAGAGGTGTTGTACCCTGAAAATTCTGTGAGAAAAAAACAACAAATATATGAAAAAAATAGTTGGGAATTGTAAGAGTTGTTGCCCTGTCCCTTTCTCTGGTTACAGGTCTTTGGGTTAGGTTGCCTGGCTGCATGTCACTATACCAATATCAAATTCTTTGTTACCATCAGATTGGCTTGAATGGCTTACTCTGTGGGCCTATTCAACATGCCTCCAGTAGGCCTTTGTGTTATGTGCATTGTGATAGTCGGTCTAATCTTCTTGTCAAGATGGTTCATACAACACCTGAGAGGAGGTACAGTGGGGAAAAAAAGTATTTAGTCAGCCACCAATTGTGCAAGTTCTCCCACTTAAAAAGATGAGAGGCCTGTAATTTTCATCATAGGTACACGTCAACTATGACAGACAAAATTAGAAAAAAAATCCAGAAAATCACATTGTAGGATTTTTAATGAATTTATTTGCTGATTATGGTGGAAAATAAGTATTTGGTCAATAACAAAAGTTTCTCAATACTTTGTTATATACCCTTTGTTGGCAATGACACAGGTCAAACGTTTTCTGTAAGTCTTCACAAGGTTTTCACACACTGTTGCTGGTATTTTGGCCCATTCCTCCATGCAGATCTCCTCTAGAGCAGTGATGTTTTGGGGCTGTCGCTGGGCAACACGGACTTTCAACTCCCTTCAAAGATTTTCTATGGGGTTGAGATCTGGAGACTGGCTAGGCCACTCCAGGACCTTGAAATGCTTCTTACGAAGCCACTCCTTCGTTGCCCGGGCGGTGTGTTTGGGATCATTGTCATGCTGAAAGACCCAGCCACGTTTCATCTTCAATGCCCTTGCTGATGGAAGGAGGTTTTCACTCAAAATCTCACGATACATGGCCCCATTCATTCTTTCCTTTACACGGATCAGTCGTCCTGGTCCCTTTGCAGAAAAACAGCCCCAAAGCATGATGTTTCCACCCCCATGCTTCACAGTAGGTATGGTGTTCTTTGGATGCAACTCAGCATTCTTTGTCCTCCAAACACGACGAGTTGAGTTTTTACCAAAAAGTTCTATTTTGGTTTCATCTGACCATATGACATTCTCCCAATCCTCTTCTGTATCATCCAATTTATTTTTATTTTTTTATTTTTTTCACCTTTATTTAACCAGGTAAGCCAGTTGAGAACAGGTTCTCATTTACAACTGCGACCTGGCCAAGATAAAGCAAAGTAGTGCAATAAAAACAACACAGAGTTACATATGGGGTAAAAAAAACATAAAGT